TTAGGGTTCATTGAACGCAGGGGAATAATAATATGAGAGGGATTTGATGTAAAATAAGCTCTTTTAATGAATTCAAAATCAATGCAGCAGACAAGACATGAGAGTGAACATAATACACACTTTATTTTTTTTTCTTTTAGCCATCAGATACTGCAGCAAGTGTGTCAGTAATAATAGCAAGACAGGCATAGGATTTTCCAGCCAGGTTAATTTTACTTTTTTATGGTTTTGATGTTGCATTTAATTTTATTTGTATTAGAAACTTATGAAGGCTGTGCAACATTTTGAGGTGATATTATAGAGTATGTAAAGGCATGAATAGAGTAGAACCTCTGGTCACAACCATAATTCGTTCCATAACATTGGAACACAGAGACTTTATCCTGATTTCTCCAAGTCTTTCCCTTTTGTTATTTTAAACTTCTCCAATTCCAATTATATTAGCCAAAACCTTCTTGGACAGTTACCGTTCCCCCCCTCCCTTCGTATTCTGAGCATTAATTAGCCATTGCTTTTAAACTCTGGATAATTTTTTTAAGCTCCAAATTTAAATTTCTTTACCCTGGGGTTGGCCAGCCTTTCTTCCAGTCCCAACACTTTGTCTAAACATTGCTTCTGCTCCAAACTTGGTCCGGTTGCCCAGGCTCCAGAGCAGTCATTGAAAGATGGCCACCACCATCAATCTGAGGAGCTTGTTTCCGACCTGCCGAGGAGCTTGCCTTGCTCCTCATGGTCATTTGAAACGCATCTCCTTCTTCACCATCCCTTCAGGACGGCTCTGGTCCAACGACCTCCTGATGATAGTTTGCCTGCTGGGTTTTTCATGAGGCTCCACGGAGCTCGCTATTTTCCCAGCCGTTCTCGCTGTGATGCTTCTGGTTTCAGCCATTTCAAGTAAATGTTAGAATTGTGGAAAAGAGGATTATTACCATATGTGGCAGACTTTTGAAGTGCTTCCCCCCCCCCCCCAATTTTTGATTGGTGATCCACAAGACATTGGTGAAAACGACAGCAATCACCTTTCAGATGAAACCAGAACTTTACTTTTAAGCATTTTTGGACAAACACTTTTATTGTTGTACATAAACCCTGTGGCAAGATTATTATATGTACATAAAGGGAAAAAGAAACTGCAAATGTTGAAGGTTAGCTATCCAAGTCTTGGCAGATATGGAAAAACAAAGATGACTAATGAGAAAGAAATTTTCAGAGGTTTTTCTCAAAGTTTGTTTATGGATTAAAGTAGATAAAATAAAGTAGATAAAATAATGGAATGATACAGGGTTTTATAGGGTTAAATAAGGGGAGATAATGGAAAATTTAAATAGTGTTTAGAATGGTATAAAATTAATAAATAATGATTAATGAGCTGTGAGGAAAGAGAAATGTGGAAGTACACTATATATTTTTAAGTTAGGTATTGAGTTTGGAATTTACACATTTGTTTCTATACATGTTTATGTATTGCATTTTTATGTTTATTTTATATGTAGAATTTCAGTGAAATTTAAACAAAAACAAGAAAAATATGTTCCAAAATCCAGCCTTATGGTATTTTTCATTTGATGTTTAAAAAAGACTGTGAAAATGCACACACTATGAAAAGCAACATGTGTGATTTGAGCTGAAAAGGATAGCTATAGGCTTTTTATCTAAATAAAATAAAACAGTGTTTATCATACATTTGTTCTACGTATATGAGGTATCCTGCCTTAGAGATATTAGGAGGTAATCCATGGATTTATTTATTTGGTGCCTTATTTGTCCCCAGACCAAATTAATCTGAGTATATAAACAAGGATCAGGCAGGCTGGCAAAAGCTGAAATAGTACTGCAAGCAGGAAGGTGATAAGGAGAAGCAACCTTTGGCAGGCAGTAGAGTAGAGTAAGGAGAAGCAAGCATCCTGATAGGAAGATCAGGACCTAACTGGAAGAACAGGAAGTGATGTACTTGCTCATCTGGTGGATGATTATAGCCAACTGAACACGGTGTCTGTCTAGGCAGAGAAAGATTGGTAGAAATGGTACTAAAATAGTAACTTGAGTGGGTGGCTAAATCCTATCTATACCCTTGAAAAAGTAAAGTGAACTGGCCAAGTTCCATCAAGAGCTCTCTATCCATTTTCCCCCTTTAGAAAGGCTCTTCATCTCCATTCGACCTTTGGCAATCTGCTTTTCTTATTTATGTCATTAATCCTGGAAATGCAAACACTCACACTGAAACCCACATCTAACCTGAGATGGAGTTTTTCTTCGCAACACAACACATTTTAAACTCTCCTCTTTATTTCATCCAGTGAGTGCTACATTATTTAGAGGGCTTCTTTTTCTATAAAGCACGAAAGACAAACAACTTCAGAAATGATGACCATATTACATATTGTTCTTTTCTTTGTCACAGTAACAAAATGGAAATGACCCACAGCATGGCTGGAGCCATGGTTTCCAAATGACGTTGTAGAGAGACAGCTGTGGTGGGACAGGAGTGAGAGTTTTGCGATGCTCTTCTACAGCTTTGTTCATTCTCTCAAGAATTGTGTGAAATTGTGGTTCACTATCTGCTGACAGAGGCTTGGCTTCTGAAGGGTCTTTTGAGAGATGAAACAGTAGAGGGGGATCATGATGGGTGACCCCTTCTCCAGAACATGGACAGTACTTACTGACATAACAGGCTCCAGATCTTTCAGGTTGGAAAACAGGGCTCACATAATGGGCTTTCCACACATTTCCGCCTGATGGGAAACAATCTGATTTATTAAAATGGAAGCAAACTATGAACAAGTTTTAAAGAGTCTAGTTTCCTGCAATAGAACTGTTTTAATTCTACATTGGCAGTTGAGACAAGCAACCTTGTTATGTTGCCTATCAGCTGCATTCTCTTTTAAGAAAGAAATATGCTACTGTTCCTGTTAGATAGGGTGAATGGATGAGATAGGATTCAGGCTCAGTGACAACAACAGCTCTTTATTCAGCAAACTATGTACAGATCCAGCGCTGGCCTCTCTGAGAGATGGCTCAGCCAATCAGCTTGAGTATTTTCCCTCTGAAATGGAGGACTTTGGTGGATCCTATTGCTCCGGTCTCAATATCTAACAGTTCCATTCCTTTATTTTTTTAAATACATTAAAGAGGCAGTGCATTTGCTTATAATTTAGCTTCACCTCTCTATTGTTTCCTACCCATATTACTTACAGATTTTTTCTTTGTGATTTTTTATATTTCTTTATGATATAACTGCACTACAATCAAAGGCTATGTCAATGTCATGTTAATTCTTACAGAATAATACAATTTTCTGAATTAGGCCCACAGCAATTTTAAATCAATTATGACATCAAAATTAATCCTGCCCATGTTTTAAGACTTAGAGCTAAAATTAGCCTTTTGAAATTAATTATGCTTGGTATAACTTTTGGTGCCAGTAGTGGTGTAGTTTAAGGGCATCCCTACATTTGGAAAGGGGTAAAATTGGAAGGATACATTTTGTTCCAATTGAGAAAAGTCAAATTAAAATGCAAATCATATCAGTTTTGAGTCATTTCAACACATAATCCTGCACGGTGAAACCCAATAAGCTTTTAAGGAAACAGTGCTTTTCCAGGAAAATTAGGTTTTGTTTGAAGGAACCCTGGATACTTACTCTCCTTCTCGTACCATCGCACTGCATGTAAGTATATTCCACAGTAATGAAACATAAATTCGTGCTCTGAATGATGAACCAATCCTTGCAACAAAGGCATCAAATTCCGGCCATCAATTACCCTAAAAGGACAACAAGCACAGAGTTTCAGCAGATGTATTTGGAGTAATTCAGAGCCTTGCATTAATAGTCCAACAACTGAACATTTATTAATGCACTGCATTAATATAGCTGCTACATCTGCTATATATAAATACAGTCCAAATCACTTGAAATTCCAAATTCTTGTACATGTGAATTTTTGTAATATATGCAGAATTCTACAGGCAGAAAAGATTCTTTATTTACTTCTACAGTTTCTAAAAATTATTATGATAGACCTGCAGTATTCATTAAAGTGACCTGGAATTTCTGGTTGGGATGATGTTCTGAGTATAAAATACTAACCTCATCGAGCACTAGGGAACAGACTTTGTATGCTATCTTAATTCATTAGTTCTTACAAGAGGAGTGGAAGAGACTTTATAGCAAAAGAACATCATTTCCTAAGTTCTCCTATGTCAGTGATGTGTAACCTTTTTCTAAAGGTATACCAAAACTGTGTGTGTCCGTGCTATCTCGTGCAAGTGCCTAGCCACCTGCGAGCAATCCCCACATGGGAGGAGGGATTTTTATCCTCCCCAGGCTCCGGAGGCTTTCCTGAAGCCTGGGGAGGGTGAAAACAGCCTCCCCCGGCTCTCCAGAAGGTTGAAAATCAGCTGGCTGGTGTGCGCATGTTTGCCGGAGCTGAGGGCTGCCGAAGGCTGCCGAAAGCTGCTGTAGAGGCAGATATGGCTCTGTGTGCTACCTGTAGCAAATGTGTCATAGGTTCGCCATCACAGTCCTATGTTGTATTAAACAAGGCAGAACAGTTCTTCCTCACCCTAATGAATTTATTAATCTGTTTTTATTGTTTGCTTTAAACATATCAACTAAAAGGCTATTTTTGGATTCTTTTCTTCCTTAAATGGGAATATTCATAAACTGTCAGAACTGTGAGATAAAATGTTTGTTTTTTTAAAAAAATTCCTGAAAAAGACACTTCTGGATGTCTGGATTGCCGCCAATAAGACTCCATATTCATGTTCATGAAATCATGAGGAGTCAACCATATTTTTAATGAGATCTTTATATGAGAACAAGAATACTCAGTTTTCTCTCAAACACCTCCAAAATATTCTTCTTCCATTATATTGCTACAGGTTCATACCTGTAGCGATATGTTGGTAAAACTTTCTACTAGTGTACTGGGGTTATTTTGAACACTGTAAGTGCTATTCCATGGGAAGAATAGCAATTCAGCAATATCAAAAAACTTCCCATCCATTCACCCAGCCATCTGGACTTGTGTTCCTAAATATAGAACAAATACATTCTGCTTATATTACTTTTGATCATGCAACTATCTTACTTCATTTCTGAACATTTATGAAAAATACATTTACTCTTTAATTTGAAACCTCCCAAGTTTTCCCATTGCTTCATCCGTCTTTTTTTCCCTTTTAAAATAAAATCAGCATAGTTGAAGAATGGAAGGAACAGATTGAAATATTCTGAAAGTCAGTAAATCAGAATCATAGCAGGCTTGTACCACTAAGTACTTTTCACTACTTTTGGGGATCACCAGGTTTAAGGTATTAAGTCCTGTAGCATCCATACCTGTCTTGTGGCACTGTTTCACCAGCCAATTGAACCAATGTGGGAAAGATGTCCATTAAGCTTGTTGGTACAGCAATCTCTTTGCCCTCTGGCAGCACTCCTGTCCATCTAAATAATCCTGGAACACGGATTCCTCCTTCCCAACCTCCCATGGCTTTTCCACCTTAAAATAACATACAAAACATTTCATATTTTCTCTCTCTCTCTCTCCTTCCTTCCTTCCTTCCTTCCTTCCTTCCTTCCCTCTCTCTCTCTCCCCCCCTCTCTCTCTCTGTTTTTCTCCTCCATCTCTGACATTATGGAAAGAACTAGCTCTCTGGAGAAGACTCTAAATGCTGGAAAAGATGAAAGAGAACAGAATGACCAGCAGCATAGACACGGTATGCTGTCCAGAGTCTCTTCCTGTGAGATGGGTGGCTATGTAAATTTGATAAATGAATAAAGACAATAGTAAGGAGTGAAATAGAGGAGCTATTAGAATAGACGACAAACAGATTTTAGGGAGAAATGTGGTTGCTAAGAGTTGACAACAACTTGAGGGTTCTCCTCCTCCCCTTCATTTTCTCCCCTCTTACAGGCCTCTTTTCTTAGTCTTGCAGTTGCTGCTGATTTCTTCATAAGTGTGTGTTTGTGAAAAGTTTTGCAAACACAGAGAATTTTCAGGCAGAACTCAGTGCTTCTAACACTTTTATCTTAGTTAGATTGTAGGGTCAAAAGTCTTATAAACAATAGAACATCATTTAGGACATCAGATTCCTAGAGCAAAAATCCATGGACAATTATTTAGATTGTCAACTAAAAGAAACAAATAGAAAAATGAAAATACATTATTTATTTATTTAAATGAATATCTTAATATCTATCTTAAAGCAACTCTGGGCAGCTCACAACAATCATAAAACCAATAAATAAAACAATACAAATAATAAAATAAGCAAATATTCTGAGTGATAATTATTCCCTTTGGGATGCCCCAAGCAACCCCCATGCCATACTGTTCTCATTGCACTCATACAATCCCAGCATCCCAGTAAAAGTCTAGGTCTTAAAGGGCCTTCAAAAAGGCTAGAAGGGAGGAGATCTTTTGGATTGCTGGTGGGACCTGAGCAAGCCCACCTTATCTGATCTAGTGGGGTGGTAGATATTCTTAGGGAGAAATAGTCCCACAAATGATGAGTAAGTCAAGCAAATGGTCAGGATGGCATTCATAAGCACATTGATATATACATATAACAGTACTTATTAATGCTTTGTTTTTTCCCAGGGGACTTATAATCATCAGGTCTTGCAAATAAATCTTTCCAGGATATCAACAGCAACAGTATTAATTCAGATGGATCTATGTGGGACTTCATAAAGTTATTATTACAGCTCTTTCTTCAAGCATAAGTGCTTTGGTCCACATTCCATCCTAACTACCCAATAAAAAAGGATAGTAAAAGGAGAAAATTAAAGAAAACCAAGAGATTTAACAGTCATATTTTCATCCTGTAGATTGTGCAACAAACTCTGTTAAGACTTGCCTTTTCCATAGATAAGTTCATATTTTCTATTAAATTGCTAATTTCTTTCATTCTAGCAAGTTGTATGAATTAAACTCCTATTTTGCATCTTATGATTGCAGATGCATGCTTCATTGATCTACTAGATTTTGCTTAACCCAAATTTCAATGTTTCATATTTAAACTATATTTCAAATAGCATACCATGGCTTTGAAAATGCAAAACAATTTTTTTAAAGAAACATATGAGGGTTACTCTCACCTTTGTATATACCATTCCAACCACCTCGTTGACTATTTTCTTCCCAAGCCTCTAAGTGTCCACCATGGTCAGAAGCAAAATATGTCAGAGTACTGTTTTTCAAATTTTCTTTATCAAGAGTATCCAAAATTTTTCCTGCAAAGAGAACATAACTTATGTATCACTAACTTTAAGTCAGGCAAAATTCTACTATACATCTATTTTTGGTGATCTTGATTAGTTTATGCATGATGCTAATATTGTTACATTGTTTCATTAAATTAAAAACCAAATTTTCATAACATAATCCCAAGAATTGTGCAGACAAGAGAGCCTAAGGGCATGTTTTTACTCCTAGATTCTTTAAAAGACCCACAGTTCAGACTATGAATTCTGTTTCTTTCCAACAATCACTTGCTCCATACTATTTATCCATACCTTTATTTGTAATTTTAGAAGGCATATTTGACATGGAACAATAAATTGAGGCTAGCATAATCCCTGGCAATGTCTATTTAGATACTCATGTCAACAGACATAATTTTGTCTGATATTTCAATCAAATTGCTATATTAATGTTTTTAGTTTTAATCCTGGGATGTTGCAACGAATTGCAAGTTGAGGTTTTCAAAGAAGATGCCAGAAAATGAACACCTTTGTTCCTGCAAATTAGGAGCTATTGAAACAAAAGTTCCTGTACATCTTTACCATCAATCATACCATGAACTATGATAGAAACTTAGTATACTTTTCTTAGCTCATGTTTCAACTTGTATTGATTCTTTTTACTTTACCTAATCTCATAATGAATTAGAATATTATACATTCTTATGGGTAACAGCTGGCAATATTTTTATTGTTTCAGGACTCTTGCCAGGAACATTTTGATTTAATTCTAATTTTATTTACCTTTGTCACCTTATTTTACTTTTAATTCTATTTTATCTCATTAGCTCATTTTATCTCATTAATTTAATTTCATTAATTTTTATCTGCTTTGTGACACTAGTTTTATTTCAATAACTGAGAGAAAGTAAATTGATTCTATGTAGGTCCCTTACATTTTCCACACATTTTCCACACTTACAGCAACTGCATCATCCCCGTGGTCACATGATCAAAGTCTAGACACTTAGCAACTAATTCATATTTATGATGGTTGTGGGGTCACAACACTTTTGCAACTTTCTGACAAGCAAAGTCAATGGGGAAGCCAGATTCACTTAACAATTGTAGAGATTCACTTCATAACTGTGGCAAGAAAGGTCATAAAATGGGGCAAAATTCACTTAACAAATGTTTCAGCAACAGGAATTTTGGACTCAATGGTGATCGTAAGTCGAGGACTACCTGTAGGCATGTATAAGATCTTAATGCATCCCTACTAACAATATTCATCTCTCCCCCAGAGTGTCCTTGCTGATCACATTTAACATACTGTAAGTTTTTACATAAATATTATATAATTTTTATTCTTCATAATAATATTTGAATGATTTAATTGCTTTGTTTATTAATCAAAGTTACACATATAGACACACCACTTCGAAGTATTTTTGATATACCGGTATATGACAGCCTAGAAATAAAACCAATAATATAACTAAGATGTACCTACCCACCATCCAGTCCATCTCTTCTACATTATCACCATATAATCCATGATTGCTCTTGCCAATGAAATTTTCTGTAGTAACCAGAGGAGTATGAACATGCAAGAAAGAAACCAAGATGAGGAATGGACCTTGTTTGTTTCTAAAAAAATAAGAAAATTTTGCCTGTAATAATTATTCATGAAATTATTATTTGGGGATGGGCAATTAATATTTTGCAAAATAATTGTACTCTTAGTACTTGATGCTTTGAACCAAACCACCAATAACACTGTGTTCTCATTTATAAAAGTTCAACATGCTTCCTTGTTTCTGTAATATTTCAAGAAAGCTTGCTTTATAAGGGGCATAGTATCTATACTATAGTCCTCAGCTTAGATTCACACAGCCCTTGGTTGATTTTCAAAATATCTTTACAATTAATTAGTCCATATTTAACTGAGAGCTAATGTTAATTTTCTTGATGCTTCAGAAAAACAGAGAAAAAGCTGTTAAAAGTAGCTATCGGTGACCAACCTATTTTTTGTTTCAATTTCACTTATCGTTGTACAGCATCCAATAGGTTGTTCTAAAAGAATGACAATTTCATTAATAAGAGCAATAAGTTACTTGTAACTTATGAATGCAAGGATTACAGAGGTAGATTATGTATAGAACAATAATGGCTATTATTGAATCTTTGCATAAATCTATCTGTCATCTATCTATCATCTATCTATCTATCTATCTATCTATCTATCTATCTATCTATCTATCTATCTATCTATCTATCATCCTACCATTCATCCATGCAATCTATATCTATATA